AAATCATTCACTCACATACCATTCACTCACACAACATTCACTCACACACCATGCACTCACACACCATGCACTCACACGACATTCACTCACACGGCATTCACTCACAAATCATTCACTCACATACCATTCACTCACACAACATTCACTCACACACCATGCACTCACACACCATGCACTCACACGACATTCACTCACACGGCATTCACTCACAAATCATTCACTCACATACCATTCACTCACACAACATTCACTCACACACCATGCACTCACACACCATGCACTCACACGACATTCACTCACACGGCATTCACTCACAAATCATTCACTCACATACCATTCACTCACACACCATGCACTCACACGACATTCACTCACACATCATTCACTCACACATCATTCACTCACACACAATTCACTCACAAATCATTCACTCACAAATCATTCACTCACATGACATTCACTCACACATCATTCACTCACACACAATTCACTCACAAATCATTCACTCACACACCATTCACTCACACACCATGCACTCACACGACATTCACTCACACAACATTCACTCACACACAATTCACTCACACACAATTCACACACACACATTCACTCACACACCATTCACTCACACGACATTCACTCACATATCATTCACTCACACGACAATCACTCACACCCCATTCACTCACACGACATTCACTGACACACCATTCACTCACAGATCATTCACTCACACACAGACACCTATGGGCAATTTGGTGACTCCAATTAACCTCGCCATATTCCAAAAGGAATATCAGTCGTTCTTTCTTCTGAATAATGTTGCCAATCACAGCCTGGATGATCTTTTTCAGCCTGTAAAATCTCAATAAATTAAGCAGTAATGTCAATTGAACTGTGCTGCTTATTTCCATCTTCAAATTTCACATTACACAGTATCATTTTTACAAATAAACAGCAACATAATAATGACAAATTCGGAAGTTCTCTCCAGTTATTTTTCATTTATGCTTTGTCTTGACAGACCTGCAGAGCATACCAGCTTGTTTGCTGCTTTTGTTTGTCAAGTTAGCATTAAAAAAGGTACAGTAAAATTTCTAAGAAGTTTCCTCGGTAGTGCTGTATGTGCCTTAGTAGAAGTAACCGAATATGGGATGTTTAAATAGGCATCCAAATATACCCAAGCACTAATGAATATAGAATTTCAAGTGAAAATCTATAAAATTAGAATTGTGAAACTATTAAAAGTACAAAGCATATCTAGGAATATATAATTTAGAGCTAAATCTGTTTCCCCAAACCTTATATAGAATTCACAGGGGTCAAGTCTTATGTTTGACCTGTGAGACTCACGTTTTTGTCATTGCTGGGGTCTTTGTGATGCAACAAACCAAAAAGCAAAAGGTTTCCTTCAGTATCAGACATGACCTGCTGTGAAGGCTTATCAGAATACACCTAAAAACTATATGCCCCCCCCCCCCAGCCTCACTGCACTCATTTCCCATATTATTAATTCACCCCCAGGTTTCATACACTGTTAGATTTTTGATCACAGTTATTTTCTGTAAATTATTGGTCAGACTGATGTATTTTTCTGTGTCTGTTTAATTTCAAGAATTATTTTGTAATAATAATAATAATAATAATAATAATAATAATAATAATAGGAATGATAATAATAGATATGAGTATAAGCAGTCATTTTGATTGCTCACAATTTTCACTGAAATGTACAAGCTTTCCGTAACTCACCTCGCTGTTTTCACTGCACTTAGGTTGACGTTTCACTTCAGGTTTCACTGCAGTTTGGTTGACGTTTCACAGCAGGTTTCACTGCAGTTAGAATCATGTGTTTTTCCTGCTCCAGTAAGACTGCGGAGGCATACTTAACCAACTGTAATACACCAGCACCTCAGCCTATTTCCAGTGTGTACTCATCTAAGACCTGCCAAAGACCTAACTGTTTATAAATGAAGCGTGGGGCACAAGCTCCCATTCAGCCCTTGTTTATTTTATTCAAGTGAAAACACCTATTTAAAGCCTGTCTGCTTCAAATGCTTAACTCTAATCCAGGCTTGAAGCACTGCTTTTCTCAGAAGGAAGGTTAATCAATGGAAAGCCACTATCAGACCTACAGTATGGTGTTCATTGTGGCATGAAGACATAGGAGGGATCAGACACTTCGCTCTTTTTAATTTATATATTCCACTTAAGGAATGGCTTATTTTTTTACAGTAAAACTGATTCTTTACATACATGTTTTCAACTTGCTGCAAATTTTCACCGGAGTATAATCCCCCTTGAAAACCTGAGACCAAGGTGACATCTGGTAAGAATGTAATTTCTGTTATCAGAACTAGAACTAAACATGAAGCTTTCGATTAGATTTAGATCAGCTTCAGCTTCAACTTTGTCAATGTAAAAAGTAAAAGTACTCAGATATTGAAATGCAGTCTGGCACCTAATCCAAAAAGCTCAAAATAATGCAAAAGTGCTATTATATGAACATGTAAAATATATATAAATATTTTTCTATGCATAAATATATATGATTATTCAGGATTCTACTTGTGTTGTTAGCACTGCATTGGCGTCTTTGCACTGTGTCTTTGCACCTCCTCTGCTTTACAGTGAATGTACGTCTGTGTGGGCCCTATGAACACTGCTACTGTATACACAAGAATTTCCCTCTGGGATCAATAAAGTTCACCTAAAGTAGAGTAATCTGCATGCAATTATAGTCTTTTCAATCCTGATTTTGGTTTTCAAATTAATAAGCGATTGTTCTCTTACAAACTAATATAAAAGATATACAGTTAAACAAAACAATAGAAAAATAACAGCCATTCCTACAGCGTATGATGATCTGTGACATTTATATATTGTGTAAAATATTAATAACTATATAATTACCCTAAAGTTTAAAAGTTTTGCGATGTGATTCATTTCATGATTTTCATGTGAAATTTCTCACGCAGTTCAAAACAACAGGTTTAAATAAACATTTTAAAAGAAGTAGCGCCACCTAGTGTCTACTCACTGTTAAATTGTTGGTAGGTGTATCACACAAAAATGCTGCTTGCAGACCAGCTTTTATGTCGTATTTGCTATCGAGGTAAACTGGTTTCACTGGATGGTTGCACAAAGGCAAAGAGTGTCAGTCTTAAGCTATAATATTACCCATTATAGACAAAACAGCTGTGGTGAATCTTTAGCTAATTCTATAAACGTGCAGGGTTGGTATCCTGTTGTTGTTGTTGTAGTTATGTGCAATAAACTCCTCTTCACTTCATTTTTGTGTCCTCAGGGAATTAAACGTGAGAAGAGCAAACAGAAGTGAAATTAAATGAAGCCAGTGGAAGCAGAAACACGACTAGCAAAGCTGACCCCCTTCGAGAAAGCCATACACGACATGTCTCACAATGAGCGTGTGCTGAATGACATCATGCTGGAAAGGCGCGTTGCCTTCTATGAGCTCCGGGGGATGGTCGGGAAGGGGAACTTCTCACAGGTGAAGCTGGGGATCCACACCCTGACCAAAGGTGAGAGAGAGGCTGCAAGCCCGTGAAACTGATGCCTCTGCACAGAAATATCCATGTAAATGAGGGTGAATAAGACAGACATGCTGGAATTAGGGGTTTAAGATCATTTGCTATTGAAACATCAATAATAATAATAATAATTCAATACATTATAAAATGTATTTATTTCAATAATTATTCATTCTTCTTTTAACGGGGTCACCTTGAGAGATATTAAATGTTATTATTCCTCTTTGTATCACAGGCCAATTAGCAGCAGCAATCCCTGCTAAAGTCACTTTTGACAGAATGACATCATAATGATAAATGTCACTATCAATTTCAGTCCACGTGCCAGAAAAAAACTGTACAAGTTCATCAAATAAAGTGTTTAACTCAGACTAATCATGTTGGCGCCCTACAATAAGCAGTAATATCTTTGCTCATCGTTTTCATCTACGAGTTTGTCAAAGATACCCAAGCAAAAAGCAAGTGTAGCTGGATTTAAAAAGCCAGAATTCTGTCTGGGTTCTGTAAGCCTTCTTTTTAACCTCTCTGCTTGCTTCTCCTGCTGCACCTCTGTCATAAAGAGAGGGTTGCGGTCAAGGTTATGGATAAGATCTGTCTGGGTGTGAAGCTCAAGAAGCTGATAGTATCTGAGATATCCTGCATGGAACAACTGTCACATCCCAACATCGTCCGCTTGTATGAGGTGTTTGAGACGACAAAGAACATTTACTTGGTGATGGAGTACGGCAGTAAAGGGGACCTCGACTCACACACGAGAGCCAAGGGCTACCTGTCTGAAATGGAGAGCAAGGAGATCTTCAGCCAAATCCTGTCTGCCGTCATGCACATGGTAAGCACAGCTGCATAAATGACGATTTATTGTTTTTAAATTCTTAAATACACATTCTGTCTAAAACCCATGTATTGTTTTTCTGCTTTAAATTCAAATTTTGCAGATCATCTTCCGTTTGATGTGACGTCCTTTTCGTTGCTTACGCTATAGAGAATGGATCTGCACGCTCTAGTAAAGGCAGCCACATTTTTCGGTAATTTATTCTTTTGTTCTGAACTTTACAGCATGACAAGAATATTGTCCACAGAGACCTGAAAGCAGAGAACATCATTCTCACCTCCAGCTGCCAGGCTAAGGTGGCCGATTTTGGCTTTAGCACGGTCAGCAAGCCCGATGAAGTCCTTACCACCTTCTGTGGGTCTCCTCCTTACGCGGCTCCTGAGATCTTCAGGGGGAGAGGCTACGTGGGCCATTATGTCGATATCTGGGCACTTGGGGTCCTGCTGTACTTCATGGTCACAGGCCTCTATCCATTCCGTGGTGTCAATTTGGCCCGACTGAAGCGCCGGATCACTCAGGCCACCTTCCACATCCCTCCCCAAGTCTCTAAGTCGTGCCAGTTTGTCATCAAGGGCATTTTGCAGAAGGCACCAGTCAATCGTTTTACCATCCAGCAGATCATGACCAGTCCGTGGCTGAAGGGAGTTGAGTACATGAAGCCGTACCCCCCCATCAACCTCACGCCTGCTTATCTAGCAGAGCCATCCTGGACCCTGTGTGAGGAGGAGAAGGAAGTGAAGTCAACCCTTCTAAGTTTAGGGTTCTCAAATGCTCATCTGAAGAATAACACTTGTGCCGACTCGTACACTGCCGTCATTGGCACCTATCGCATCATACTGCATCGTGTCCAGAAGAACAAGTCTCTGGAGAATCCCAGCTGCTTGTGCATCGTGCCCAGAAGAATATGTCTGTGGAGAACAATGGCCTTGTGCACACCTCCACTCGCTCCATGGTGACCACTGTCCCGCACACGCTGTGTGTGGTCTGTGCGACACTCGTTCTCTGGGGACATCACTTCAGTGAAGTCCGTCATAGTGTAAAAGTAGTGTTTTGCTAAACCTCTGTAAATAAATATATGTGAAGAAGTGTGGTGTTGCTGAGGAGCCACTAAAGCCTTATAGCCTGTCATAGTCTGCCGTGTGACAAAGTGCGCAGTAATTCCCTGGCTGTTTGTGGCCAGCGGACAGTCAGCTGCTGACGCAGGATAGCTAACTTTAGCATAAGCTGATTAAAATTAAAATTCTTGGAAGACCAATTCTGTTGTTCTGTGAATCAATGTGCCTGACCCGAATCTCTGGATAATTAAACAGCTGTATAAATAAGTGTAGCTTATTTAAATCCCTCTATAAAAGCATGGCCTGTCAAAAATGACTAATGCAACAATTATCACTGATTTAGTAGGGATTCAACAAGAGCCTAAGCCAAAGACTGATACACTGTATTGCCAAAGGTATTGGGACACCTGCCTTTACACACACATGAACTTTAATGACATCCATCCCATTCTTAATGCATAGGCTTTAATATGGAGCTGGCCCACCCTTAGCAGCTATAACAGCTTCAGCTCCTCTGGGAAGGCTGTCCACAAGGTTTAGGAGTGTTTATGGGAATTCTAGACCATTCTTCCAGGAGAGCATTTGTGAGGTCAGGCACTGATGTTGGACGAGAAGGCCTGGCTCACAGTCTGCGCTCGAATTCATCCCAAAGGTGTTCTGTTGGGTTGAGGTCAGGGTTCTGTGCAGGCCAGTCAAGCTCCTCCACACCAGACTCGCTCACCCATGTCCTTATGGACCTTGCTTTGTGCACTGGTGCGGAGTCATGTTGGGACAGGAAGGGGCCATCCCCAAACTGTTCCCACAAAGTTGGGAGGATGAAATTGTCCAAAATGCAGCATTAAGAGTTCCTTTCACTGGAACTAAGGGGCCAAGCCAACCCCTGAAAGACAACCCCACACCATAATCCCCCCTCCAACAAATTTTACACTTGGCACAATGCAGTACCGTTCTTTCGCAAATGTTTATAGAAGCAGTCTGCATGTCTAGGTGCTTAATTTTATACACCTGTGGCTGTGGAAGTGATTGGAACACCTGAATTCAGTGATTTGGGGGTGTCCCAGCACTTTGGCAGTATAGTGTATATGGATATGCATGAATCTATCTGCTCTCCCCATAAACTTTAAGTGCTTATCTACATTATGTGAATTTTAGTGCAGATCAAAATACAGCAAAAGACACCAAGGCACATGATCAGAGTCACAGTCACACACTACAGCTGATCTTAGAGATGTCGTGTCAGCCAGCGTCACAAACACCGGGCAGCGGCGGGATGCAGACGCCTGAGCCAGCAGGCGCCAGGCCGTTCTTCCAGCCTCCTAGCTTCGTCAGTAAGGCATCATGGATTGCCGAAATACAACCATTTGCAAACTACTCAGTTTTACTTCATTCTTCTGTGATGCTGGCAGTTTGATGGGAGTATTTGCATTGCATTTCATTTTCCATTTCAAAATGAAATAAAACATTTTATATTTTAGATAGAAGGACCAGTACCAGAGTCAAATACAGATTGCATGAAACTTCTTGAAAGCTCCAACAGGGGGCAGTGCATCCTCGTGGTCTTCCTTTAGCAGCCAGATATGCATTGTCCTTTTTGGTACACTCACTTAATATGAACAATTGAAGCTACACAGCATTCCCTTTAGTGTTTATAAAATATTTTCTATGCTCAGCAAAACAGAATCATATGCTTTAATAAAACATAAGACTTTGCCAAAGTAACAGCATTGACTTTTCTCATATGCTGCTTGATGAGGTGGGGGCGGGGGCGGGGGGGGGGGGGGGGGCGGGGGGGGGGGACCACCACCGTGCTGGCAGATCGGAACACAACCATGGCTGCGGTCACGTGTCCTGACACGTTTCCCAGGACGTTTGGAAGAAAAGCCGCCCCAAAATATCACAGATCCACCACCATGCTTAAAAGTGCTGATTATGAGCTTTACTGCATCACCATTTAATTCACGCCTGACTCAGCTCTGCTATTCGCTGACAGAAAGTTATCTTTGTCTTACATCTATCCATAGATCCCCATTTAAACTGAAACGTTAAATTCTAGTGATGTTTAGCAAATTGCATTTGAGGTTTGATAACTAACAGCAAAGCTTTTCTTCTCCAAGGTCTTTCCAGTAGCTTTGTGAATGCAACCAACTCCACTGTAATTCTGTAATTCTGTAATTTTAGGCATTGTACTATTTCCTACGTGTTTGGTCTGTGCATCACCTCGTATTCATCCCCCTGTCACACATGCATGACCACTTACGCCCTCCACAGGACTTAGATGTGCATGGAAAATGTGGAATCTGAATATGTAGAATATACTTCAATAATATGATAATATCATGCTACCCATGACTATTTCTTGTAACTTATCTTCTTTTCTTTAAGTAGTTACATCACAAATAAAGGATAGATTTCTCTTATTATGACTGTAATATCAAGCAGATAAAGGATATTTTTGATATCCTTATTCGTTGATCTTTCCCTGGCATACCAGTAATCCAGGATAATACTGTAATTACCATGATTCAAGGAACTTTCTGTATGTTAGCATGAGAAAAGCAACAATATATACTGACCTTTAGTTTTTATTCAATAAACAATGTGATCATTGTCATAAAGAACTAAATTCTTTTTAATTCTGTATCAGACAGGTTTCTGTTTGGTATCTTTTGTGAACCATTTGTGGCTTGGCACAATTTCTTAAATCGTATTGGGGAAATTACATCAATCAGTTCACACCTGCTGGGATTCTCCCTATCTTCATGAGAATCGATTCCACCCCCGCCCTCAGACACCCTCCACCTCCATAATAATACATCTGTGCTTCTCATCACACCCCAATGTTAGTGGTTAATGTATAACCTGCAACATTTTCTTATTATTTCATGCCAAAAGACACCAATGTTTTACTGTAGCCTAATAATATTCCTTAATTCATTAATGTTGTTCTAAAAGTTCAATAGCATTTTGCATAGCTAATGAAATAAAACCGAATTATTTTAGCTACATAAACATTTGGTACCTCATCATTTTATTACTTAATATCGTATATAAAACGCACTCATTTTTTATTGTGTGTTTGTCTCAGCTGAATAAAACCAAAGAATCTCCAGTTTATCTAATATTTTGACACTTACTTTAGATTCTGTCATCTACGCACCTGGGCAATAACCTGAAGCCTTCGTCGCTCTGCCAGGTTGCTGTCCCGACTTGAAACAATTTCCCGTAAGTTCCATTTTATTATCTGTCATTTGGCAGACAGCTCTGTGCATCTTACAGGACAATACAAGATATGCAATATATGTATAGACCTCAGTTCTAATGACTCTTGGCAAAGTTCTGACAATGCAATTTGTGAGTCGTGCTCAGTAAAGCACTTCATTCTTTTGTGCAGCGTTCTGTGCGCTTGTGGATACGGGGCTGAGGGCCGCCGCCGGGGCAATCGATCCTGAAACGTAATAATCCTTGATTCCACTAAACTGTGCATTTATGGAACACTGATCCTTGAATTAGGCTCCCTCATCATCGCCATCACTGTGTGTCGGGAAAAAATGCACATTAAATCAAAATTTTTACAAAAAAATTCATTTGATCTATAGCAAGAGTGATTCGTTTATTGGACATTAAAACAAGAATTACTGCCAGATATAGAAGCTATTAAAGGTTGTGTTCTGGATATCCACTTAAATATCATCACATATAAATACCCACCAAGTTTCAAATGCAGAGACACTCTAAAAATACTTCACAGATCGGAAACAGAAAAATGGATCTACGAATGCAGACCTTTTTACTCACTCTTTCTGCTCCCCAGTTTTATCACTGTGTCTCTGCTGTTAACATTTAACTTTTGGTTTTCACAAAATATTACACCTTTCAGGAAAAAGGCTTCTTTTTCTTTTTTTCAGCTTCTATGTATTACTTATCGAAATATTTTTGACAATTTAACAACTTTTCTGCAAGATTCTCTGATAAAAGATTGAGACAGTTTCTGCCAAACAACTAAATCTGGCATTCATTTACCCACAGTGTCCACAGACCTCTGAGAAATCTCTGCAAAGCCTCTTCAAAGTTGTTCAAAACACAAGATGCCGTAAATCCATTCTCAGAGGCACATTTGATCAGAATTGTGTTTTTATGAAGGCCCATTATCATGTGTGTGTAATTATGTAATTATTCATGTATTAATTTTCCTTTTCTGGTAATTAGTTGACAGCTGAAATTTTGAAAAATAGCCTTTCACAATATATATGTAGGCAGAACCAGTCAGAATCATGAAGCCCAGCAGTGACTTGCTTCACCGTATCACACTTACAGCTATAAAATAATGTGTATGATCAATTCTGAGAAGAATATTATGTTCATTGGTTTCAGTTGACACATTACATTTATTATTTAGCAAACACTTTTAATCAAAGTGACGCATAATTGAGGAAGCAGGTTCTTGACCTTGGAGATACTGGAAGTTAGGATTATGGTCAGCTGGTCCTTGGAGATACTGGAAGTTAGGATTATGGTCAGCTGGTCCTTGGAGATACTGGAAGTTAGGATTATGGTCAGCTGGTC